GCAGAATGCTGTTGGATTGTATGTATGTATTTTTTTTGGCTGCTGGCTGGCACAGGGATCTGAACACTTGACTTTGTTGTTATCAGCTCTACACTCTACCGAGTGAACTAAGCAGCCAGCCTTGTATATATTTTTACTTGTTAATTAAATAACACAGTGGTGAATGAGACAAAGTATATGTATGAACATAACACATTTTTAGCTTTCTGTCCTACTTATAATCTCTGAAGAGTAAGCTGCCCGAAGGCAAGGCTGTTTTTATCTCATTCAATAAATATTTGTTAAATATGAAGTTACAAACGAAAATTTTTATTGCTTCCTCTATGTCTGGTTTTTTTTTTTTTACAGCTTTCATCAGGTATAATTGACATACAATAAACTCCACATTTATTTATTTTTTCCTTTTTGTCTTTTTTACTGACCGGTAACGGGATCGCAACCCTCGGTGTCGCGCCCACACCGCGCTCAACCAGTGAGTAGGAACTGGTCTCCACGTGGGATCCGAACCCTCGGCGGGAGCGCCGCTGCGCTCCCAAGAGGTGCACTCTCCAGTGTGCCACTGGGCAGGCCCTAAACTCCACTTTTTTTTTTTTTTCCTTTTTGTCTTTTTTTTCGTGTCCAGCAACGGATCGCAACCCTCAGTGTCGCACCCGTACTGGACCGGGACCGGCCACGGGATCGCAACCCCCGGTGTTGCTCCCGCACCTCGCTCAGCCACTGAGCGGGAACCGGTCTGTATGTGGGATCCAAACCCTCGGCGGGAGCGCCGCTGCGCTCCCAAGTGGCGCACTGTAGCAGTGCGCCACCGGGCCGGCCCCCTAAACTCCACATTTAAAGTGTGCAATGTAATAATCTCTGACCAAATGAATGTATATGAGAGATCTTCAAAATGCTCATGGAAAGATTCATCTTATCTTTTAATTCCTTTTTCCCGTGAGCTTTTTGAAATACCCTCATACGTATACATATATATCTATACGTTTTGTTTATTATCTTATTTGATCCTCCCAATAGCCCTACAGCCTTTCCTATTATTTCTGTTTAACAGATAAGCAAACTGGGGACCAGAGTGGTTAAGTAAACTTGCTGTGGTGACAGTAAGTGGCTGAGCCAGGATTTGAACCAGAGTTTTCTGAAGAGTCGTAGAGTAGCCATTTGTGTTTTAGTATACCTTCTGCTTTTAAGCACTGCACTCTAGAGGACTAGTGTCTTGGGTTTTCAGGGTCAGGGAATGTCAGATCTCATCTGTAATTTATCCACAGGCCGCTCTCTTCATATTTGTTTCTTCTGTTAGGATTGATTTTTTCTTTAGCATCAAAAAAGTTTTAATTTTTTTTTTTTTTTTTTTTGTCTTTTTTCGTGTCCGGCAATGGATCGCAACCCTCAGTGTCGCGCCCAGACCGGACCGGGACCGGCAATGGGATCGCAACCCTCGGTGTCGCTCCCGCACCTTGCTCAGCCAGTGAGCGGGAACCGGTTTGTATGTGGGATCCAAACCCTCGGCGGGAGCGCCGCCGCGCCCCTAAGCGGTGCATTGTAGCAGTGCGCCACCGGGCCGGCCCAAAAAAGTTTTAAATTTTGATCAAGTTTCCTTTATCTGTTTTTACTTCCCTTTTGTATTTTTTTGTGTCTTATCTAAGAATTTATTGTTAATTCCAGGGTTCTGAAGATTTACCTGTTTTTTCCCCCTAAGAGTTTTATAGTTTTAGCTGTTATATTTAGGTCTTCGATCCATTTTGAGTTAACTTTTATACGTATGGTATGGTATGAGTACAGATCTTTCGCATGTGTATATCCAGTTGTCCCACTCATTTGTTGAAAAGATTAATCTTTCCCCATTGAATTTTCCTGACACTCCTGTCAAAAATCAGTTGACCAGAAATGTACCAGTTTATTTCTGGACTATCAGTTATATTTCAGTTGATCCGTGTATTCTTCCTTATGCTAGTATCACACTGTTTTTATTACTGTAACATTCGAAGATTATTTTGAAGCAATTCCTGACATCAGTCATTTCTTCTATAAATATTTCAGTATATATCTCTGTAAGAGTATGGAAGTTTTGAAAAATACACCATTATCACATGTTAAAAGTTAACGTTAATTCCTTAGTAGTATTTATTATCAAGCCAGTTCAAATTTTCCCAATTATTTCTTTTAAAAAAAAACCCAAAACAAAACTTTACTGAGTGTAATTTACAGTACATGCAATGAGATTCACTGATTTTTTTTTTTTTTTTCCTTTTTGTCTTTTTTCGTGACCCGCAACGGATCACAACCTTCAGTGTCGTGCCCGTACCGGACCGGGACCGGCAACGGGATTGCAACCCTCGGTGTTGCGCCCGCACCTCGCTCAGCCAGTGAGTGGCCGGTCTGTATGTGGGATCCGAACCCTCGGCGGGAGCGCAGCTGCGCTCTCAAGCGGCGCACTGTAGCAGTGTGCCACCGGGCCGGCCCAAGATTCACCGATTTTAAGTGTATAATGATGGGTTGTTTTTGTTTTTGTTTTTGGCTGGCTGGAATGGGGATCCGAACCTGTGATCTTGGTGTTATAATACTGTGCTCTAACAACTGAGCTAATTTGCTAGCCGAAGTTTGTTTTTTAACATCAGGTTTGCTTAGATATAATTTACATACAGTAAAATTCAGTCTTTTTAGGTGTATGTTTCAGTGGTTTCTTTGGATCTGCCTTTATTTTAGACAGTGGCAGGTTTACTTTATATACAGTGAATTCACCCTATTTAGTGTATAGATTTGTGAGTTTTGACAAATGTATATATCCATTAACCTCTACCACAATTAAGGTATTACTCCATTAAGTTTTCTCTTGTGCTTTTGTAATAAATCCTCTCCCTTAATCCTTAGCTCCTGGTAATTGATCTGATTTTTGTATCTAAAGATTTTCTTTTCCAAACTGTTAAATAAATGGAATCAATACGTTATGTAGCTTTTTGTATCTAGCTTCTTTTACTTAGCACTATGCTTTTAAAATTTATTCATGTTTTGTGTAGCATGTATCAGTAATTTGTAACTTTATGGCTTCTTGTATTCCGTTGTTAATGATATTACTACCACAGTTGGTTTATTCATTCACTCACCAGGTAATGGACATTTGGGTATTCAGTTTTGGGCTATTATCAATAAACCAGCTTTGAATGTTCACATTCATTACTCTTGGATAACTGTCTAGAAGTGGGATTGCTAGGTTGTATAAGTATGTTTAACTTTGTAAGAAACTGTCAAACTCTTTTCCAAAATGGCTGTACCATTTTCCATTCCCACCAGTAGTATATGAGTTTCAGTTGCTCAGCTTTTATCAGCTTTAATTTTAGCTGATATATCATCCTTGGTCAAGTGACTGTAACCCATTTATTGGGCAATTTATTTTATTAAAGTCATGTGAGTTCTTTGTATATTCCATATATAAGTCCATTATCAGGTGTCTGTTTTGCAAATATTTACTTCCTATCTGCGGATTGACTTTTTATTTTCTTTCTCTCTCTCTTTTTTTTTTTTGGCAGCTGGCTGATAAGGGGATCCAAATCCTTAACATTGGTGTTTGGCTTTTGGTTTTCTTAACAGCATCTTTGGAAGAAGAAATTATTAAAAAATTTGAAGTCTGATTTATCATTTTTTTGTTGTTTTATGCTTTGTATTTTTTCTGAAATCTTTGTCTAATCCTGGGTCACAAATATTTTCTCCCATATGTCCGTTTAAAGCTTTTGTGGCTAGGTCATTGGTCCATTTTGACTTAGTTTTTGTATATGGTATGATGTAACAGTTGAGGTTCATTTATTTGCTTACAAATATCCACTTGTTCCAGCACCATTTATTAAAAAGATGTTGTTTTCCTCAGTAATTTTTCTTGACTCCTTTTTCATTCTATTGCTGGACTCTATTCTATCCTGTTTATGTGTATATCTATCATTACAGTGCTACTACACTGTCTTTATTACTTTATATGTCTTGAAATCAGGTAGTATAAGTTCTTTTTAATCTAGATCCTTTGCATTTCCTTTTTTGGGGGGAAGGGTTGGCTGGTGATCTGAACCCTTGACCTTGGTGTTATAACACCCTGCTCTAAGCAGGGTTCAGATCCACATACTGGCCACCTGCCGCCAAAAAAAAATTAAGTAAATAAAGATGCCACTTAATACCCTTAAAAATGATTACATGTATGTATATTTTACCACAATTTTTTTTTTTGGTTGGTGGGGAGGGTGTTGGCTGGCTGGTAAGGGGATCCAAACCGTTGACCTTGGTATTATTGACACCATGCCCTAACCAACTAAGCTAACCGGCCAGCCCAAGTGGCATTATATCTCGATATACAAGTTTGCTAATTATTTCTTCTGTCAGTTTATATCTCTTTTGAGCTCTAGTGAATTTTTCACTTTAGTTATTGCACTTTTTGACAGGAGGATTTCCATTTGGTTCTTTCTAAATAATATCTCTTCATTGACATTGTTGCAATATTGTAATCATACTTGCCTTTACTTCTTTAATTATGCTTTCCTTTAGTTCTTTGAACCTATTTATAGTGACTACTTTGAAGTTTTTGTCTGTTAAATCTGACATCTGATTACACAAGCAGTTTCTATTGCCTGCTTTGTTCCCAGTGGAAAGGGCCAGTGCTTTCCTGTGTCTTAGCATGTTTTGTAATTTTTTGTTGAAAACTGTACATTTTAGGGCCGAGCCCGTGGCGCACTTGGGAGAGTGCGCGCGCTGGGTCCCGCAGCGGGTTTGGATCCTATATAGGGATGGCTGGGGCGCTCACTGGCTGAGCGCGGTGCGGCCTGTCTCAAAAAGGACAAAAAAAAAAAAAGCTGTACATTTAAGATAATACAATATATTGATTTATAGCAATTCTGGATACTGGTTTCTCTCCCCCGCCCCTGCAGAATTGTTATTGTTATTTACTTGATAATTGTTTAGTGACTGGCTGGGTGATTTTAGTAAAGTATATGCCCCACCCTTCCCCCTCCAGTGTGGTACCTCTGATGTCGCTCCTCCTGGAGGGCAGTCCTAGGTATGCCCACAATCACACAGGGGTTTTGGCGTGGCTTTTTCTTTTATTCTGACTTCACGCAGCTGTTAAGCTACACTTAATTACTAGCTGATTGCTATATGTATTGTTTCAGTGATGCCCTGGGGCATAAACTGTTCCATAGACTGATCAAATTTGGGCTTCTTTGAAGGGTTAGATCCTGAGCTCAGTGTGTGAGATGTGTTCTGATTCCAGTGAGGGCTACTCCCAGCTATCTCTTTCCCTGCTTCTGGCCACCAAACTAAGCCAATCTACAGTTTAGCTTCTCTCTAATGATTCTACCAGTCTTCTACCCAGTGCCTTTGACCATAACCTCCACTTTTGTTTTTTAGCTGCTGACCTGAACCCATGACCTTGGTGTTATAAGGCTGCGCTCTAACCAACTGAGCTAACCAGCCAGCCCTTGATCTCCACTTTTTTGAAAACACTGTTGGTCATGAACGCTGTTACGAAAGAAGTTCCTAAGAGATTCTGAGCTCCCCCCCCTTAATTGTGGTAGGGCTGGCTGGTTAGCTCAGTTGGTTAGAGCATGGTGTTATAATACCAAGGTCAATGGTTTGGATCCCCATAATGGCCAGCTGCCAAAACAAACAAAAATTGTCAAAAATATATACAACATTTTTGTCATCCTAAAAGAAAACCTCTATACCCATTAAGCAGTTTTCTCCCCATTTTCTACACCATCCCCAGACACTGGCAACCATTATTCTACTTTCTTTATCTATAAATTTGACTGCTCTAGGTATGCCATATAAGTAGAATCATACAGTATTTGTCTTTTGTGTCTGGATTACTTAGCATGTCTTCAAGATTCAGCCATGTTGTAGCATGTATCAGAACTTCATTCTTTTTTATGGATGAATAATATCCATTGTATGGATGTATTGCATTTTGATTATCCACTCATTCCTCAATGTTTAATGCTTTGAGAAACCGCTATACTGTTTTACACAGCAGCTGCACCATTTTTACATTCTTGCCAGCAGTGCACAAGGGTTCCAATTTCTCCACAGCTTTTCCAACACTCATTATTTTCTCTTTTCTTTGATAATAGCCATAGTAGTGGATGAAGTGGTATCTCATGGTCTTGATTTGCATTTCTCCAAAAGCTAGTGATAGTGAGAATCTTTTCATGTGCTTATTGGCCATCTGTATGGAGAAATGTGTATTGAAGTTTTAAGTCCATTTTTGAATTAGGTTTTGTTGTTGAATTATAAGAATCCTTTATTTTTTTTGGATAGTAACCCCTTACAAGATATATGATTTGCAAATATTTTCTCCTGTTCTGTGGGTGTTCTTTTCAATGTCTGGATAGTGTTCTTTGCAAAAGTTTTAAATTTTGATGACATTCTGTTTATATTTTTTTTCTTATGTTGCCTATACTTTTGGTGTCTAGTTAAGAAATGACTTCCAAGTTCAAGGTTATAAAGATTTTCCGCTATGTTTTCTTAGAGTTTTATAGTTTTAGCTCTTACATTCAGGTCTTTAATCCATTTTGAATTAATTTTATGTAAGATGTAAAGTAAGTGTTCAGTTTCATTTTTTTGCATATAGATATCTAGTTTTCCTAGCCTTATTTGTTAAAAAGGCTGTTCTTTTCCCATTGAATGGTTTTGACCTCCTTGCTAAAAATCAGTTGACCTTATATGTGAGAGTTTATTTCTGGGCTTTCTATTCCATTGGTTTTTATGTCTGTCCTTATGCCAGCATTACGCTATTTTGATTACTGTATCTTTGTTGTAGTTGTTGCTTTTCATTTTCTTCCTTTGTTTTTTTCTTTCATGACTGTATCTTTGTAGTAAGGTTTGAAATCAGGAAGATCTGCTTATGATTGCTTTCAATTTATTTTGATTGCTTTTGATTTTTTTTTTTTCCTTTTTGTCTTTTTTCGTGTCCGGCAACGGATCGCAACCCTCAGTGTCGCGCCCGTACCGGACCGGGACCGGCAACGGGATCGCAACCCTCGGCGCTGCGCCTGCCCCTTGCTCAGCCAGTGAGCGGGAACCGGTCTGTATGTGGGATCCGAACCCTCGGCGGGAGCGCCGCCACGCTCTCAAGCGGCGCACTGTAGCAGTGCGCCACCGGGCCGGCCCTTGATTTATGCGTGTCTTTAAATTTATAGTATTTCTCCTTCCATGCTGTTTTTTTCTGCTAAAAGAACTGTATCTTTTTTTATTAGTCAAAGATATAACTGTATAATCAATAAGAAAAGATAGTGTGACTTCTATAAAGAAGCGTTATGTTTTAAAGTCTGTTAAATAGCTTTGTGTGGAGGCCATATGAGTTTAAGGACATGTAGTTAGTGGCATTTGCTGAAGATTTTGTAACTGGCACTTCAGCAACCCCTAGGATAAGATAATCCTTCTAAGCAAGATTTAGCCATTTTGGCCTTTGGGTACAGACTGCAAGTAAATAGAAAAAAATTAGTAATTCAAATGATGTTTGAAAAAGTATAGTAATTTAGTTAGGCTTACTTGTGAAGTTGAAAGTGTGAAGGCAGTTTATTCCTTGCGATGCAGTGTCATAAGCTAGAAATGAAAAACCTGGATGCTGGATCAGATATACCTTGTTTAAATACCAGCTCTACTGTTCATGAACTGGATGATTTTGGTCAAGATATTTAACTGCTAAGGTTCAGTTTCCTCACCTGTAAAGTAGAGGTGATAGATTAGACATAATGCATGTGAAATGCTTACCATAATCTCTGGGGGTTTTTTTTGTATTTTTTTCCCCAATTTTATTTATATTTATTTTTGTGGGGTACAATGTGTTGTTTCAATACATGCATATATTTCACAATGATTCACTTAGAGTAGATAGCGTAGTTTTGTGTCCATTAGTCCATCCCTTCTCCTCTCCCCCACCCCTGTCTGCTCCCACCTCCCAGCCTCTGATAACCATTATTCTACTCTCTACTTCTATGAGAACCATTTTTTTTTTAAGATTCCACATATAAGTGAGACCCTGCTCTAGTTGTCTTTCTGTAGTGCCTAACTTATGTGACTTAACATGATTGTGTCCAGTTCCACCTGTGTTGCTGCAAATGATAGGATATCATTTCTTTTTATGACCGAATAGTACTCCAGTCTGTATATATACCACTTTTTTTTTTTTTATCCATTCATCTGTTGATGGGCATTTAGGTTGATTCCATCTCTTGGCTATTGTGACTAGCGTTGCAATGAGCATGAGTGCAGGTCTTTCCGATATATTGATTTCATTTCCTTTGGTTATATACCCAGTAATGGGATAGTTGGATCATAAGGTAGATCTATTTTTAGTTCTCTGAGGAACCTCCATACTGTTTTCCACAGGGGCTGTGCCAGTTTACACTCCCACCAACAATGTAGCATCATTACCAGCATTTGTTATTTTCTGTCTTGTTGATAATAGCCATTCTAACTGGGGTGAGATGATATCTTGTGGTCATAGTGTCTGGTTTATAGTAAATTCTATAAAAAATAAATTATTTGTCATATTCCTTTGACTTTAGGAATTTCTCTTTTTATGCTGTGTGTGAGGCAGAGTTACAGAATCAGATTGTTAGGAATGAAAGGAATCTTAGAGGTCATTTGGTAAAAGCCATTATTTTCTAGATGAGATAAGGTGAGGAAGGTGAGAGAGTTGGAGACCAAGCCAGGACTGGCCTCAGTGCTAAGATCAGTGCTTCTTCATTTGGAATGGCACCAGTCATACTACTAGAATTTTTGGACCTGAAGTGTGCTTCTCCTTGAATGTTTTAAATTTTGGCTTAATCTGAGTGTTATAATTACCTTACTAAAATGTGATTCTAGTTCTGTTGTTTCAAAATAACCAATATTTGTAAGAAATGTAACATTTCATTTTATTAATGTTTTTATTATATCTGAGGGGCCTAATTTTTTCCAGTGGAATAAACCTTATGTTGTATTATGTTCTATAACTAAATTTATTTGAAAATAGAGTTCACCTTACTGGAAATTACTTGAGAGCCAAGTTTTGTGTGCAGCATCTTTCTGAGGGAGGGAGTTGGCAGGAAAAGCCATTGTTATAATGATCTTCATACAGCACATATTACTAGAAGTGAAAGTGCTTTGAATGATTTATTTTCAATTGTTTTTCTGCAGCTGTAAACACATTACTCTCTTTAATTTTTATTGAAACATAATTGATTATGTATATCTGTGGGGTACAACATTGAATATCAGTACATGTGTGCAATATGTGATGCTCAAATCAGGATAATTAGTATATTCAGCATCACACAATGTAATCATTTTTTGTGGCTCTCTACCAATTTCTTGCTAACCTCCTCCCTCTCCCATCTCTGGTAGCCTCAGTTCTGATCTCTCCTTCTGAAAGTTCAATGAATTATTAGGATTGTTGTGTCTTTCTTTCTTTCTCTGTTTGTTTTTAGCTCCCACTCATGGGTGAGAACTTGTGGTGTTTCTCTTCCTGTACCTGACTTATTTCACTTAACGTAATTTTCTCTGAGTTCATCCATATTGCTGCAAATGGAAGAATTTCATTCTTTTTTATGGCTGAGTAGTATTTCATTGTGTGTGTGTGTGTATATATATATATATATATATATATATATATCACATTTTCCTTATCCACTTGTCAATTAATGGACATTTAGGTTGGTTCCAACTCTTGGCTATTGTAAATAGAGCTGCGATAAACATGAGCGTGTAGGTATCCCTTCAACATGATGATTTCCATTCCTTTGGGTATATTTCCAGCAATGGGATTGCTGGACTGTATGGCAGTTCTATCTGTAGTTGTTTGGGAAACCTCCATACTGTTTTCCATAATGGCTGCACTAATTTACAGTCTCACTAACAGCATGGAAGCATTCCTCTTCCTCTACATCCTCACCAGCATTTGTTATTCTCTTGTCTTTTTGATAATGGTTGTCACTAAATTCTTTTGATAACTGGGGTGAGATATTTCAGTGTGGTTTTGATTTGCATTTCCCTGATGCTTAGTGATATTAAGCATTTTTCATGTACCTGTTGGCCATTTGTATGTCTTCCTTTGAGAAATGCCTACTTAGCTCCTTTCCTCTTTTTTTTTAATTGGGTGGCTTGTTTCTTATTGTTGTTTGAATTTCTCATGTATTTTGGATATAAATCCCTTGTTGGATGTATAGTTTGCAAATATTTTCTTCACTCTGTAGGTTGTCTTTTTGCTCTGTTGTTTCTTTTGCTGTGCAGAAGCTTTTTAGTTTGATATTTTCCCATTTGTATGTTTTTTCTTTTGTTGGCTGTGCTTTTGGGTTTTTTTTTAAGTCTTTGCCCAGTCCTACTTCCTGGTGTGTTTTCCCTGTGTTTTCTTTTAGGAGTTTTGTAGTTTCAGGTCTTATATTTAAGTCTTTAATCCATTTTGAGTTGATTTTTGGTATGTGGTGAGAGATACGGGTCTAGTTTCATTCTTCTACATGTAGATGTCCTGTTTTACCAGAAGCGTTTATTGAAGAGGTAGTCTTTTCCCCAGTGTACATTCTTGGTACCTTTGTCACAGAACAGTTGACTGTAAGTATGTGGGTTGACTTCTGGGTTCTCTATTCTGTTCCATTGGTCTGGGTGTCTGTTTTTATGCCCATACCATGCTGTTTTGAATACTATAGCGTTGTAGTATAATTTAAAGTCAGGTGATATAATGCCTCTGGCTTTATTTTTTTTTTGCTCAGGATTGCTTTGGCTATTTGGGGTCTTTTGTTGTTCCAAGTGCATGTTAGGATTGTTTTTTCTATTTCTGTGAAGAATGTCATTGGTATTTTGATGGGGATTGTATTGAATCTGTAGAGCACTTGAGTAGTATGGACATTTTCACAATGTTAATTCTTCCAATCCAAAAGCAAAGACTTTCCTTCCATATTTTTGAGTCCTCTTTCATTTCTTTCAGCAGTGATTTGTAGTTCTTGCAGAGATCTTTCACTTCCTTGGTTAAATTTATTCCTAGGTATTTTATTTTTTTGGTGACTATTGCAAATGGGCTTGCTTTCTTGATTTCTTATATTACTCATTTTTAGAGACCAGGGAAAAATACGGGAGGCGACTTGGTGTCAGTTAGGTATCTTGCTTAAATCAGGAATAGAATCTATATTTTGCTCCTGAGTAGCTCTTTATAACACAGTAATTGGTTACTTATGTAGTAAAGATTGTTATTGATTTATGTTTAGTGTTACTTTTTTCTTCTGATCGGCTGTTTCTACTTTTACTTCATTTATTTGATTTTGATAAAGTTCACGTTCTTTTCTCTTTTCTCCCTTCCATGATCCCTACGAATTCTGGGTCTCTAGGCCAGCAAAGTGCAGATAGAGCCATATTTCGGCAGCTTTTAGACGTAATACTAGACGTGCCCTCCCAACAGATAGTTTATCCTTTATTTGAATAAAATTATAAGGTATTTTAAATTTGAAAGTATTTTTTAGCTTATTTAGCCTGTTGACTTTAATAAAAATAATATTTAATCCTTTCAGAGGTCGAAACAGTAGCAAAGGACTGCCTCAGTCTACGGTGAGTAACTTTAATGTTATTTGTTTAGATAAATTGGTAGCTAAGACACTGTTTCTTTCTTTCTTTTTTTTCTTTTTTTCCCCAACACGATTTCTAACCACAGACCAAATGCCAAGGCAAAAACACTTCCTTCTCTTGAATTCTGTCACAGATAACCTTTATAGATTGGTACTGTTAAATATAAAATTATTAGCTATGTGTGTTAATTTTTGACGACGACTCTATGTATATAGTGTAAGATTGTCTGTAAGTAGTATTTTTGTCATGCCTAATAAGAACAAGTCATTTGTTCTTTTGTAAATGACTAAAGGCAAATCTAAATGAGTAATCTCCAAAAGACAAGTAGAATACGAGGACTGGAGTTTGCAGTATTCTTTGGACTAATTTGAATTAGTGTGTCTTTTTTTTTTTTTTTTTTTTTTTTCTTCTTCTTTCATTTTCTGTGTTGTAAAGGACCTTCTGGTCTTAAATTTTGGAACTTTATCAATGAAATTAAACTGGACATGAAGGGCAGAAGGTATAAGTTCCACATGATGGAAGAAATAAGTTGTTACTAAATTCTGAGACTTTGCCTTTATTGGACAGGTTGTCTTCATAAGAATTAGGATACACACTTACGCAGTATGTAATATGGAGCAGTGTGGTTGATCAAACCTTTAAGCACTGTCATGGATTCAGATATGCTGGGAGAAGCTAGTCAGGGTTCTCCTATGAAGGTGTGCCCTAACCCCCTACCCTATTTATTTATTAAATTATGTTTCACCCTTTTTAGTGTACAGCTCTGTGGGTTTTGACAAATGCATACCATTGTGTAACCACCTCCACAATAAAGATAGTAGAAAATCCCTCATTCCATTTTGTGATGAACTCTCTCCCACCATTGATTTGTCTTCTGTCCCTATTGTTTTTGTCTTTCCTCATGTATGGAAGCTTAGTTTTGCTCTTATAATATCATGTGTAGTCAAAGTATTGTTAGTTGGTATGACTGACATTTCACTTTTGAGACTTAACCTTCTATTTTCTAAAGAAGCAAAAGATTATAGTAAACCAAATCTTTCTTTAATATATTTTGTAACAAAATAAATGTTAATTTTAATATATATACAAGTGCAAATTCTTATTTCTAATAGTGCTTTTTTTTAATATTCTAGATTTCCTTTGATGGAATCTATGCAAATATGAGGATGGTTCATATACTTACATCAGTTGTTGTAAGTTATCTGATTTTTGGGTAGAAATTGCCTTGGGAGTGGAATTAAGTAATTTCATGAAGTTAAAATGTTGAGTGAATGATTCTCAAAATAACATTTCTTAGGTCATGTTCAATCAGGATGATTTAGAAAAAAATAGAACTCTTTGTATACAAACTGTTGTGACTCACTGTAAAAGTATTTTCATTAACCCTGCTGTCTACAATGTTAATAATTGTGCATTTTTTTGTCACGTTTTATCGCTGGGGTCAGAAATGTTTAACTTCAGTATTTAAATTCATACTGCAAAGGCCGGCCTGTGGCTTACTTGGGAGAGTGTGGTGCTGATAACACTGAAGCCACGGGTTCGGATTCCTGTATAGGGATGGCCGGTTAGCTCACTTGGGAGAGCATGGTGCTGACAACACCAAGCCAAGGGTTAAGATCCCCTTACTGGTCATCTTTAAAAAACTAAAAATAAAAACTAAATTCATACTGCAGATTCTGAGTACAGCCTCCTGAAGAATTTTGAGAGATAAATGTATCTTTAGTGTTTTGAATTCTTTTATCGTTCTGTCATTCAATACCTAATACTGAATGAAGCCTGATGAACTACAAAAAAGTAAAATGAAACAGTTATTTCTGCATAACATACTGCTTCTTTGATAAATTAATTGTATGTTGATAGATTAATTGTTCATTTTTAGGGATCCAAATGTGAAGTACAAGTGAAAAACGGAGGTATATATGAAGGAGTTTTTAAAACATACAGTCCTAAGGTAATTTTTATTCTTTCCTTTTTATTAATGTAAATCAACAGCTACAGTATGTTTGTATGGCTTCCTGAACAGTATCTATTAAATTCTGATTTAACAATTTATAGATATATGAACTGAGTATATTTGTTGTCGTTAAATTCATGTTAGTTTTTCCTATAAAGTGAAAACATTTTCATGCTCAGTGCTTTACCTGATTTGTAAAAACCACTTTGAATGCTTTTGCTCTTCAGTTTCAAATATTATTTTATAGACTGGCTTGTGTAATCAAAAAGACTTCTTGAGGGCTGGCCCGTGGCTTACTTGGTAGAGTGCAGTGCTGATAACACCAAGGCCACAGGTTCGGATCCTATATAGTGATGGCCGGTTAGCTCACTGGCTGAGCATGGTGCTGACAACACCAAGCCAAGGGTTAAGATCCCCTTACCAGTCATCTTTATATAGAATTTTTTTTTTTCCTTTTTGTCTTTTTTCGTGTCCGGCAACGGATCGCAACCCTCAGTGTCGCGCCCGTACTGGACCGGGACCGGCCACGGGATCGCAACCCTCGGCGTTGCTCCCGCCCCTCGCTCAGCCAGTGAGTGGCCGGTCTGTATGTGGGATCCGAACCCTCGGCGGGAGCGCCACCGCGCCTCCCAAGCGGCGCACTATAGCAGTGCGCCACCAGGCCGGCCCCTAGAATTTTTTTTTTTTTTAAAAGGCTTCTTGATTTATGTGCGTATTAAAATATTTTAGCCATTTTCAAGCATTGTGAACTAGAAGAGGGATGGAGTGACTTATTCCTCTTCTTTATCACTATGAAGGTATGAGGGTACTTCAGAAAGTTTGTGAAAAAAAAGAATTAAATGATAATATGAATATTTCCATGAACTTTTCAAAGACCCCTTGTATTTAAGACAAAGCATAGTGACAAAGACCGACTTTTAGATGTGAGGACTTTTGAGTGATGGAATGGATAATCATATTTCCAAAAAAAGGCTTTGATTACAGGGATCTCTTGAAAGAGATTATTTTCGCCAAAGGCATATAAGGAATACCACCTTAATGAGCTAAAGAATTCCTGTCAGATTTTATTTTATAAGTGTTTTGAATATTTAATCGTGTTTTTCATTTTAGTGCGATTTGGTACTGGATGCTGCACATGAAAAAAGTACAGAATCCAGTTCAGGGCCGAAACGGGAAGAAATAATGGAGAGTATTTTATTCAAGTGTTCAGACTTTGTTGTGGTACAGTTTAAAGATATGGACTCCAGTTATGCAAGAAGAGGTGGGTTTTGATTTGCTAAATATGCCACATGGTTTATTAGTTTTATTCAAGCAATCATTCTCTATAGTGGTCATACAGAGTTTTTTTTTTAAAAATATGTGCTTTCTGGAATAACCTGATTAAGACAATTTTTTAGGAAAATGTGAATTTTAATGTATTTTTGTTGGAAAATATTCAAAATTTCAGAGAAATTACTTGGGACTTTTAATAGCACAAATAATGAAAGTTTGTGTTCTATTAAAAAATAGTTCGTAAAGGATTTTCCACAGTTTCATGGTCAAAAATGCTATTGATTATACTCAACTGAAAATTTCTTGTCCTGTTTGGTATTCCTTACAGATTTATGCTTTAAACTAAATGGTTTAGTTTATAAGTGGGCCTGTATGTCTGTAAAGAAATTAAAGCATAGGGCTAAGGGACAAAGGCAGAAAGCTGTGGATGGAAAACAATTGTCTAATGAAAAAAATGATAAAGGAATAGAACCATATCTTTCTAAAAAACATTCAGAGTGTGTGTGGTTCTACGGTTTGAGAATTTAAAAGTGGTTATGAGTTATATAAAAACCTTGACTGTTTTATGTATCCATTGAGGAACGTAAGAGAATTGCTGTTATTCATTTGGAGAGAGTACTCTTCAGTGCTGGGTGTTCAGTAACATGTTGAAAGGTGCTTCTGGGCAATTTTGAATTTAGCTCTAAAAGTCTTTATTAATTTATGCTAAATTTTGTAGACAAATATGTAATTCTTTTGAAAATTGTAATTCATTATTTGATTTTCATGATTCGTTCTGTACCAAATGATGTTTTGTTGTTGGGCTGACTGTTCTACGTTGTTATTTGAACTGTGAGCATCAGGAGGTTAAAGCCTTTCTCTTAACAAGGTTCTCACCTGTTAGTTAACTTGCGTTTTCAGAGGCTGTAGCAATACTACATACTGTGTAACTGCTTTGAAATGCTGATGAAAGCACTGTGTACCATTTTTGTATCTTCTCAAATGTCTGTGTCTTTGATTCACAACTCTTTGTCTTAAGAGTCCTTCAGTGGCTTATAAGGAAACAAGTCTTTTTTTAGTTGTTACCTTTGGAGTTGATCTTATTTATGCCTTGGAGCACCAAATTATTTCTATTTATACTTATGCTATTGAAATATTTCAGTATTTTAAGTTTAAGAAATTGACTTTGGTCATAGCAAAAGAAAAAATAAAATTTTAGTTGAATTTAAACAGTATTGGCCACAACAAAAAATATGTTCCCTACTATATTAAGGACCAGGACACTTAGCTAACAGCCATTTACCTACCATATGCCTTGTTTTTTGTTTTTGTAGTGAATTGGCATTTCCCAAATTTGGTAAAGTAAATATTACTTTGAGGTATTTAAGGTAGCCTATTCTTTTTAAAAATTAATGTCTTTAAATTTTTATTATTTATATCTTAATTTTTTAAGTAATTTGGCTTTATTGTAGAAAGTCAAGAAAATACAGATCAGAGTGACAGCTTTGAAAATGTTTAGAGTACTCATAAGGGGATGGATATATTTTGCTATCTATTAAAAATTTAGTTTTCTTGATGGGGACATTCAATATTGGAGTAATTTCAGTTATTTTATTTCAAGACTGTCGTGGTTTAGTGAATTATACATTTGTGTCCAGTGCATAGTAACCTGAAAATAGTATTAAATGATGTGTTCAGGATTTTAGGTCTCTTTAGCTAGGTTCTTAAGACTGTTCTGGCAGAAGTTGCCATTTGTGTAAAAGAAAAGTATTACTTTGGAGATACTGTTAGTATGGAGAAATCAGTTTTAGGGTTATTAGTTAGCAAGATTTTGTTAATGACAAAAATTAAGGCATTTAGTACTGCTTTTAGATTTATATTATTTTTTATGAGAGACTTAATCAGATTTCTAGTCTCCTGGAGTAAAGGAAGGTAGGGTTTGACCAATGCTTTTTAATACCAGGTTCATATTCAGTCACCCAGGGAGTTTTTTTAAATGTCTAGTTCTCACTTTTAGAGATTCTGGCTTAATTATAATTAGCCTGGGTGAGGCTCTGGGCATGTGATTCTGAGATGCAGTCAGGGATGTGAGCCATGGGTTTCATATGATGAGATCCTAGGAGTGGCTCTGTTCTCTTGTGTCTCAAGGATTCGTGCTTTCTTTCCTTGCCCTTCCAGTGCCCTTTCTGTCTCAGAATTGGAGATTATCTTGAATAATCTCTGCTGGTATCATTTGATACTACTCTTCTATATCTTAAATGGACAAATGGATTGAGATTTTTAAGGATTAATAGAAGTGAATGGGTGATAAGAATGAAGATACTAATATAGATTGTAGCTTTCAAAAAGAAAATTTGTTTTGCGAACTTCTATCTTATAATTCTTTTCTATAATATTACTGTCAAATTCTTTTTTTTTCTTTTTTCCTTTTTGTCTCTTTTTTACTGACCGGTAACGGGATCGCAACCCTCGGTGTCGTGCCCATACCAGGGACCGGCAATGGGATCGCAACCCTTGGCGTTGCACCCGCACTGCGCTCAGCTAGTGAGCGGGAACCGGTCTCCACATGGGATCCGAACCCTCGGCGGGAGTGCCACCGCGCTCCCAAGCGGCGCACTCTCCAGTGCGCCACAGGGCCGGCCCTTCTGTCAAATTCTTAAAGTTGATAATAGCAACTAAAATTTGGGTGTCAGACTCTGTGCTAAGTACTTTACATGCATTTTTTTCATTTAATCATCAGAACTTCTTTCTGAAGTGGTTATGCTTATTATCCACATATTATAGATAAGGAAATTGAGACACATTTAAGTAACTTGGTAAAGTGAGGATACAAACCCAGCTCTTTAATCCTAACTCATGTGCATAACATTATACTATAGTGACATGAATTATGTGATGTGATTTTTTTGTTTAGCAGAACTGTCTCATAATTAGTCTGCATTGATGTTAAAGGATTTCTCAACAAATAAAGCCAAAAGTTAAAAAAAATTTTCAAGCAGAATAAGATACAGATTATTGTATTATTCAGCATTCTTTTCTTTTTTAAATCTTTGGCTTTATTTTTGGGGAAACCTTTTAAAGTGAGTAAGGTCAATGTGGACTTTAAGTTGTTAATGCTAACTTCATTGATTTCAACAAATTTTAAAAGTTGTCATATGCATATATGCAAATGAATAAAAGGCCTAGAAATAATTGATATCTTTTTATGATACAGTGAGTAAGTTTCATCTGATCTCGTGAATGTTACGCATGTCCTAGTTTGGTTTATAGACAAAATGGAAGTAGCTTTAAGTCTTACCAACTGTGGGTCCCTTTGGCACACACATAATTAGAAGAGACCATGAGATTACTATTGAAAAGTCAGTGTGTGTTTTATCCTTTATTTGAATTCCTGTGCAGACAAGTCTGGAATGCTCTCATTTTCTGTTCATTTTGCCATCTGCTTTTTAGGGCATTCGGTTGCCTTTGTTTCTGCATCTGTTTACCTTGGAATCTGCCTATTATCTATCTCTGGTTGCTTTTTACTTGATTTCCTGTCTCTTTCCAGTGACTCTTACTCACGTGCTTTCTTCCTTCACCTCTGTGTTGCTCTTTTTTTCCTTCTTGTTGCTATTTTATTCATATTTTGCTCTTTGATTTAATTACTGGGCTCAACTACATTTTAGTGACTTCTCTTCTACTTTCTTATTCCATTGTCCTTCATACTTCCTGCTGCTCCTTCATTTCCTTTGTAGTATTGTCAACCTGGTTAATGGGTCAGCAAGTCCACTCATCAATAAATAAAGTGTTATTGTAGCATGGCTGTGCCTGTTCATTATGCAGTGTCTGCATAAGTGTTCATTATAGCTGCTTTCATGCTTTTTATGCTATAGTGATAGAGTTGAGAAGTAGTAACAGAAACTGTATGGCTTGCAAAGCCAATAATTTTTACTATCTGCCCTTTTACAGCAAAGTTTGCCAACCGTTGGCCTAAGTCATTTTTCCTGCTTCATTTGGGGCTATTAGGGCTGATCAAAGTACATGCTATGCTGGCTTTGGTGAAATAACACAGAAGATGCTTTGTCCCTAAACTTATTGCTCTAAACTCATGTTTTGACTGTAATACTGTGTAATCTCATGCAATTTCTTATTTGTGACCATTCTAATTGGATTTAGTTCAAGGAATTGGTTTGCTTACCATGCCCTTTGTCACACAGTTAGTGAAAAATCATATAATGAGAAAATTGGATCAGCCAGCCACCAAAAAACAAATTGTTTAATGGAAATGATCTCCATCGTCAACTACCTGCTCTTTCCTCCATCTACCAGTTTATCTTCCTTCTTGCCATCATTATTCTCTTTTCTCTGGTTTTAGTAGAGAGGATGTTTAAGCCAAGCAATAATGCCCTTGACCCTGTCCCTTCCACCACCTTGCTCTTTTGTACCACCTCTCTGTTTCTGGACTCTTCAACCTCTCCCTTTCTACTTACTCCTTTCCGTTAGGCTAAAAATCTGCTCAAGTCCCTCCCTCTCATCCTAAAAAGGATCCCTTTTGAGTTCTTTAAGCTACTATCCTGTCTGAGGGTACCAGTAACTTGTAATTGCCATGTCCTTTGGACCCTTTTTCAGTCTTTACTGCTGCATCTGACACTGTTGATTTCACCCTCCTTAAAGATCTGTTCATCTGTATTTCTTGTCTTTATTGATCATTCCTTCCCTGCCTCATTCCTGGGCTGCTTTTCCTTCACACTGCCCTTAAATGTGTTTGTGCTCCCAGTGTTTCTTTGCCTACTGCTCTTACCACATGCCTGTATGTGTGTGTGTGTGTGTGTGTGTGTATGTATGTGTATATATGTGTATACACACACACACACACACACACAGAGCCATTCAGCAGATACTTAGCTTTGGGATGTGTTCATTGTTATGCTTGTTGCTACGGACAGTACAAAGAAATACAAGAATCTATTTTGGGTCCCTTTTGAGAACCTAGTGAAACTGTATACCCTCACCCTATAAAACACACACACA